ACGCTTATATAAGCAACAGGGGTTGGGTGTAAATGGGACTGCCCAGTATGGGCCAATAGGCCCGCTGCAGTTTCCTCCATTCTTATGTTCTTATGTTAACTCTACCCAAAGTTTATATATAGAAATAAGACCCTCTACGTTGACGCGAAGATTCTAATTCGATCAAAACCTGCTGAATACATTTCACATGTAACAACTGCTGATACACCAGTACACACTGTTTGATCAATGTACAGTACATAACTACAATTATTTAAGTAGTTTAGTGTTCTCATAGGATTCAACAGTTCACAATCACACTCACGTATTACGGGTCTAGGGGTAGACCAACAAGAACAAAAACGTTGCCCTACAGGAGAAACGTTGGCTGGCGAGAATCAAGATGTTGCCTGCACAGGAGAAGGCTATAGTCTGCCTCAGGCTGTTGTCACATGGGCAGCAGTGGGCCCGTCGGGTCGAGTTTTTCATTACGGTCACTTAGTCAGCTTTCTTAGTTGTAAACTGTTTCTTCGCTCCACCTCTCTACCTCCTTCTCTGACCCCTTCTCATCTTCGTTTCTACTTTCCCTCCTATTCTTTCTATTCTGCCTGTATCTTCACTTATATGTTGCTGACTCATACAATTGTGCATGGCGGTGACACTCCCGCTGTTGGGCTTCGCTCGAAATCACGGCCTACTGTTAGATTCACTCTCCGACACCTTCGAACAAGCAGAGTCTCGTCGCTGGGAATATTAACACTGAGTCCTTTGTCTTCACTTTGACACTTCGTACCAGTCCATCTTCGCTCGGTATTGCCTCCAGTACACTCCCTAACATCCACTGACTCCTGGGGAGGGGGTGTCCAGAGATGATTACTATATCCCCAGCGCAGAGATTGCAGCGAGTTTGGAAGAATTTTTGTCGCTTAGTAGTGTCGGGAGATATTCATTCACCCACATCTTCCAAAACTGGTACGCGATGAACTGGGCATGCTTCCATTTTCGCCGGTACGCTTCTGCCATGGACCGATCGCCTCCGGTGGGCAATGTCTCCGGGTTCATCCGTAATAGGCGAAGCGGCGTTAGTGCTTCTAGAATATCTAGATCCTTTGAGTCATCGAACACTGGGGTGATGGGCCTTCTGTTGACGATCTCCTCTACGGCGCAGAACAGAGTATTGAATCGTTCATCGTCTAATGTGCCCACCACTCCCAGGAGGACCTTCCTTAACGTGCTGATTATCTCACCCACACCCCGCCTATATGAGAGGCTGTTGGGGGATTGAACTGCCATTCTATTTGTTTCTTTAGGAGGGCATTCCCGACTTTTTCACTGTTGTTCGAGCATCTCACCGCCTCTTGTAACTTTCGGCTAGCTCCAATCATGCTGATTCCCCTGTCAGACCGAATGCACTTGGGAGGTCCCCTGCGGCAGATGAATCTTGTCAGGACGTTGACGAATGAGTCATTGTCTAGTGAGGTGAGGACTTCTAGCTGCATGGCTCTGGTAGTCAGGCAGGTGAACACGCATCCCCATTTTTTCGCCCGGGCCTAGCCTTGTTTAACAACAAAAGGGCCGAATCAATCGAATGTAGGTGAACGACCGTCCTCCTGGGCGCACTTGATCTTCTGGTAGGTCGGCTTGGCGTTGATGGGTAGGCCTCCAGTTGCTCCTCAGACAAGTTCCACACGTCTGTAGTTTGCGGTCGAATAATTTGCAGCACTTAGGTATCCAGTACGTCTCGCGTATTGTGGCAAGAGTGTGTTCTCGTCCTGAGTCTCCAGCTATAGTCAAGTGTACCTCTCTCACGATGAGCTCCGTGATACTGTTGTCCCTCGGCAACAGTATGGGATTCTTCTGGTCTGGGTAGAGGGTGACATAATTCAGTCGGCCGCCTACTCTGATCAAGCCGTCTGTGTCTAGGTGAGGTTCCAGCCAACTCACGTCGCTACCTCTCGCGGGTTGTCCTCCTTGCAACGTTCCTAGTTCTCGAGGGAACCCCTGTCTTTGCATAAATCTCAAGACGGCTAATTACGCATCTTCAAATTCAATGACCTTGAGCCAATTTTCTCGGTGATGTTCGTTCTTTCGCTTCTCAAACCGCCATTCTATGAACCTTCTAATCCACATTACACTATTCAGAAGTTGATGCCATGAGGAGTACCTGGCCCATAGCTTATCGAGGATACCCTCCCCCTGGTCAGCGCTCGCCGTCATCACCGTGGTTTCCTTCTTCACCTCTGGGTCTCAGTCTGTGAGGTCTGGAATCCTCATTGGACTCTTTGGCCAACTGTCTTCTTCCAACAAGAGGAAAGCAGGTCCCCGAATCCACCTGCCCTTCTCGTTGAGCTCCGCTCCATTTAGTCCACGACTAGCGTCGTCGGCTGGGCTCAGTGCCGAGTTCACGTGGCGCCATTGCTCTGCAATGGAGTCATCGTGCATCGTTGCCACTCGATTGGCTACGAAGGAGTGGAAGCGTCTTTCGGTGTTTCGTATGCACTGGAGGACTGCCGTGCTACGTCTGTCCAGAACACTGATCTGTCTATCTGTAATTCAAGTTCTCGTCGTAGTTGTTTGTCTGTCTTGGCAGCCAGTACTGCCGCGCAGAGCTCAAGTCGAGATATGGTCTGCTGTTTTAGAGGGTCCAGCTTGGCCTTGCCACACATGAAGGAGATATGGTGGGTTCCATCTTCACACGTGGTCCTCAGATACAATACAGCTCCATACGCTTGTTGGGAGGCGTCGCAGAAGTGGTTTAGCTGTACGGCAGCCACTGGATTTGCATCCTCGGATCGGTATCACCGTGGAACGTGTACCAGTGATAAGTGAGGAAGTTCATCTAGCCATCTTCGCCATGCCACCCTGTTCTGTTCAGCCAATCGTTCATCCCACCCAACACCTCGTCTGCACTCATCTTGGAATATGATTTTGGTTCTTATGGCGCTCGAAGAGATGAGTTCTCGTGGGTCATATATGGGGCTGACCCTACACCGAAGGCCTCGCTTCGTCTCCGGTTTCTTCAGGACCTGGACTCAGACCACGAGTTTGTCTGAATCCGCTCTTCTTCGTCAGCTGTTTCAGTCGATGGGTAATTTTCGTTGCCTTCCTCAGCGAATCTACTGAAAGAAGCAGATCGTCAATGTAGAAAGTTACAACTCGCTCTCTTGTTGTCTTTATGGAGACTGTCCTCGTAATTCTGGAATATTCGCTGTAGCGCAAACATGGCACATGAAGGGCTACACACACCCTCAAAGAGATGTACTGTCATTCGGTAAGTGGTGGGGGCTCCTGACAGCTGGTCGTCTGTCCACCATAAGAATCGTAAGACGTCTCGATGTTCGGGTACTACTCACACTTGGTGGAACATTGCCTCGATATCAGACATGAGTGCCACCTTTCCTTGTCTGAATCTGATGAGGACTCCCATTACCTGCCTGTTCAGTAACACCGACTCATACAAGGCTGCACAATCTAAAACTATTCTCACCTCTTCTGGCTTGTTGGGATTCAACACGGGGTGGTGTGGGAGATACCAGGTTTTCTCGGGCGCAGCACTGCGTTCTCGACGTGGGACTCGCTCAGCATGTCCCTCTTCAAAAAGACGTCTCATCTCATCTTGATACCTCTAAGACAGCCCTGGGTTCTTCAGGAGACGTTTTTTCAATCCCGCCAATCGTTGTTCTTCATGGCGAAACGGGATGGGAAGTTGGTAGTGTCCGTCCACTTAAATAATTGCCGTTGACCTCTGCATCAGGACTCA